CTGAATGAAGTAGAGATGGTTTTTCTCTTTTTTTTTTTTTTTTACAACTTCTTGAAACATCAGAAATGGTCCTTTTTTGCATTCGGGTGGAACTGCACTTGGAGGGGAGAGGGAAAGGAATGTGACAGTCCCAGGGCTGAGCACTGAGCAGCCAGGAGAGGGAATGGGATTCCTTCTGTATCCTGAAAGCCCCATGCTGTTGTTTCTGAAATAGGTGATTTTTTGTCTCTTCTTCAGCCAGTTGACATTGCCATGGAGGACTTCCGGTAAAAAYACTTCCTTCATCAGCTTCCCCTTGCTTTCTCTGAAAAAAACCTACATATTATTTAATTTGTTTGATTATAGTGGTTATTTCATCATGGGATGATGGAAGTCCCCTGCCTTGTCCTGATTCTCCTGCCCTCTCATTCTGTCCCTCACCATCCCAACTCCCAAAGAGTGGGAAGGAGCATCCCAGCTCCATGGCTTTTTGGGGTGATCCTGGTGTGCTGTGAAGGTTTGATGATAATTTGTCAATGTTTTGGATTTCCAAATGTGTTGTTCTGTTTTTGCTGATGGTGCTGCATCAGTGTTTTCTGATTTACAGAYGGTGACTGAGACACTGCTCGTGATTTTGGTGACATTCCGCCAACTCCAATTTTCTGTCCAAAACTCACTTGGATTTTGGCTGGGAAATCAGGCAGGGATTTTTGCAGGGAAAACCTCAGCTCCTGGAGCTGGTTCTGCTGAAGGATTGGTGCTCCCAGGGCTTCCCAAACAYGGAATTGTCCCAAAGCCCCACTGGTGAGAAGTTGATATCTGGGGTATTGGGAGGTTTGTCCAAAAACGAAAGAAACCAGATTTTGAACTTAAGTGTTCTGTGCTGGGTATTATTCACATCCTGTTTCTGGAACCTGGTTGAAGTGGTTTTCTGTATAGCAGAAATCCTGGTTTTAATTACTCCTGTGCCTGTGTTGGGTATTTATTTACCTTTATCTCCGGTGCATTGTGAAAAAGTGCATTTCTGATAGCACAGGTTCCTCTCAATAGTCCAGAGAAAACTGATCAGTAATGATCAGTAATTAATATATTACTTGATAGCAGTTTCAAGGTTTATTATTTTAGAGAAAAGACAATGAGTCATTGCCAGTTTAAAAATCAAGTGCTGAAATTCTCTCAGTATGACTTGGAAGTGTCTCAGTATCACTTGGACGTGAATTTTTGAATTTTTTACTGAGGATATTACAAATGTATTTGTCACTGAAGTCCGTTTTCTGCAGCCTATTAAAAGGGAAATAAAAGTATGTGGCAACAGTGATGTGGACACACAGCCACAATTTTTATTTTCTGTATTAAACTCCTCCCATTGTTGCAAAACAAAGGGTTTGGAGCCTTCTGATCGTTTGCTTTGTGTGTGATTGTGTAAAAGAAAAACCCCAACACCCATGACAATACACCGTAAATCCGGTGGTTGTTTCCTGTAGTTTAAACCAGGTTTTGAGAATTTCTATTTTAAGTGCTCATTAAGACGTGAAGTTTTCAAAATTGCAAACTGGATGTTTATGTCCCAAGAGCTGTTGGGAAAACTTTGTGCCATGACACAGATGTGCAGGGGAAGGATCGGATAGGGGGAGGAGGAKGATTATTCAAGCCATGAGGTGTTTGGGGATGGGGGAAGGTGGTGCATGTTTTGGGTAGGAAATTGCTGTTTTCTGGTGGTTCAGCTCTGAGGCTGCTGCCAGAATTGGTGCTGGGCTGTCAGCAGAGRGTTTATCTTTGTAAATGTGCTCTAAATCTGCTGCTTTTTGTAGGAATGAAGAGTGGGCTCTGGATGTGCAGGGAATGTTCCCAAGATGTTGGAGATCGGTGCAACTGAGGRTTAATTCAGGCTGGTTTAATGACCCAAAGGATTTTTTTTGAAATTTGTATTGGCAAATAATCTTATGTGCTGGCTGCAGAGCTTGTGATTGCAGTTCATCTTCTGGTTTGGGGTGAAATCTCCAAAGATGGGTGCTGGGTTAAGACACCTGAACTGTTTCAGTCTGCAGATGTGACCAGAGAATGTCRGGAGCTATGGGAACAAGGTGAGGGGTTTTCATGCAATCCCAGAATTATTTGGGTTGGAAAGGACCTTCAAACTCATTCCACTTGGCAGGGACACCTTCCACTATTCCAGGGTGTTCCAAGCCCTGTCCAACCTGGCCTGGAATCTTCCAGGGACGGGGCAGCCGCAGCTTCTCTGGGCAACCAGTGCCTCACCACCTTCATAGAGAGGAATTTTGTGATTTTTAATTCACATTTCACTTGTACTCAGTGCAGTCAGCACTGCCTCATTGTCTGAAATTGCTGCAGCTTGTGTTCTTATTGTCTTACTTCAGTTTTTTCCTGGTCACTGATGACACAGCACAGGTTTATGGGGAGTTGTTTTCTTGCTCACCATCAGTTGATGAAGCATTTGGGGCAATGTTCTTTAGCAGAAGGTGGAGAAGCTGCAGATGATCCTGCAGTCCATTGTGCCCCAGAACAGGAGAGCAGCGAGAAAGAACAGACGGGGACTCACAGTGCCAAATATTGGGAGTAAATCCATGAATGCCTGGCTTTCACTCCTGTGATTGAATAGCAAATAAAGGAGCATTAATTCCAGCAGGGATCAAGACTTGCTGTCTGCCTGGTCAATTAGGAGGGCATAGGGAATCTGGGTCTCTTCCCATGCACTGGCTATTACATTAAAAGCTTCTCTCCTAATATATACTTATATATGGAGCCTGCTTTATGTGGCTTTGACCACAGATGAAATGGAGACGTTATAATCAAGGMAGTAATAACGAGGAATGATTAAAAGTAATTTCTGATTGTTTTGGCTTTGGTGGAACATATGACCCCAAAGTGCTGACTCGAGACAAAATGAGGTGGGTAAAAAATTCTCCTTCCAGGCCCTGCTCATCCCTGAGCACAACCAGGCCCTATGTATGTCTTGTACAGTGAAATCATCCTGGTGTATATTAAAAAAATTAATTGAAAAAAATCAAATCTTTGTAAAGTGGCCAGGTTGATGGAGCAATCAGACAGCCCAAACCATCCTACAGGGATTAATTCCCCATAGGAATAGTTGTGGAAATTACAAAATACCGAATTCCTCCGAGGTCTGGAAATTATTTGTATGTCGGTATGTGAGATTTAAAATGAGTTAATTCAGCTTTATGGTAATTGGAGTGAGCAGCACCTTCTGAGTCAGGGTTGGGGAGCTGTGTGGTTTCAGGGGCATGAAGGTTCACCGTRTTGCCCTCATTATTTGGGAAATTAGGATTTGGGGGTGTTGCAGCATCTTCCAGCAAATACAGCAAACTCACTGACCCAGAGGGAATCACAGGTGCAAAGGGGAAAATTTTAAATAAGAGGATACAGTGATTTTACAGTAAAGCAGTGCAGAAYCTTCTGTCAGCCCAGCTCTGGGTGGTCTTTGAGTTGCCTGTGCTGGTGTCAAAGTCGGAGCTTTTTTTGGGAGCAAACTGCCCAAATTGCACTGAATCGCTCCTGGCAGGGCAGCCAGGTCCAACTGCTGGACCAGGGGTTGTTGGTTCCCATCCATAGTTTGTTTGCAGGTAAACAGAAACTCTGTAAATACAGCTGGGAGAGCGTGGGCAGGGGGAAGAGCAGCCAGGGGGGCTGTGTGGCTGTGCCAGGCTGGCATTGGGCTGGCTGCCCATCTCAGTTTGAAATGGGCTGCAAGATACAGCCCCAGTGATGACAATCATGAAAAATTCCCATGAAAATGGTGTAAGACATGAAATCAGCAGTGATGCCTTGGTGCTGACCTCAGAGGGGTTTTTTTNTTTTTTTTTTTTTTTTTTTTTCTCAGAGCAGTTGTGCTGTCCCAGCTGCCAATATTTGCTCCTTTTTCTGTCGAACGAGTTTGATAAATGTCCTGCTTTCCGAGCACCGCTGGTTTTTAACGAACCTCTGGGAATATCTTGTAGACTCCCTCCTGGTAAACAATAAATAAAAGCAGTTGCTGTTTTGCCTGAAGAAATAAATATTGACTGGTTAGAAGAATGGAAGGGCTTTTTTTTTTTTCACCCCCAGAACTTTGGAAAGAGGATTAACCAGCAGATTTGGAAAAAAAAAAGCAGAGCTGCTTTGCTTGGATGTGCCAACTCCCAGGAGGAGCTGGGTGTGGCTGGTGCCCCTGGTCGGGGGAACATCCCGGGGGATGTGCTGCGGGATGGGAATCCCACGAAAATCCCGGTTTTGCTGATCCCACGGGAATCCCGGCTTTGCTGAGCCTGGAGCGGCTCTCTCCAGCATCCTGCGCCYGAGGGGCTGTGACTCGCTCACGTCCTTACTCACGATAGCGGTTTGGGRTTTGCCCTGTTTGTTTACCTCAAGGAAAAAAAGGAAGGAACCTTTAGCTTGTCTTTTTGCTCAATCGTTTCCTTTCACGGGGAGCAAAACCGCGGAGCCGGATGCCAAAGCTGGAGCTGTTGGGACACGGGCAGGAGAGGTGAGTCCTGTCTGCGTGCTTCACCAACTTTTTGTATTCTCCATTCCCTGCAGCGACTGAGTGCGGGGAATGTCAGCGCTGCGAGAGATTTGCCAGCAAACTGCAGAGTGGGATTAATCTGTTTCCCAGCAAAAACCCAGCTCTGAAAAAAAGGGGATTTAGCCATGGGGTTTACCGGGGGAGCTGGAGCTGGGAAATCCCATAGCCCTCGCTTGGGATTTCCCTGTGAGGAGCGGGAATGGCTGAGCTGGCAGCCGAACTGTCTCCCTTACTGGGAAAATTCCTTTCGTGGATTCTCCCTCCCCTGTCCGGGACGTCGCGGTCCCCGCTGTGCAGGGAGGATTCCCGTGTCCCTGGAATCCCGGAGCCCAGTGCTGGGGAGGGCACAGCGAGCACTTTTATAGGATCAGAGACTGCTCCCCTCCTCCTTCCTCCTCCTCCTCCTCCTCCCTGCCGCTGTTACCGCCTTTGGGAGGATGGTCCCGCTCCTCTGAGCCCCAATGAATGTCCTGAACACCCCAACCAACACCCCTCTCCCTCCTCGTGGCTCTTTTCCGCTCCTTTTTCCCCGCCTCTTCTCCTCGTTATTGCTCCACGCCCGTTGTCACCGGGGATGATCCAGGGCTCTCCTCTTTGCCTGGAGAGCATAAATACCACTGGGGAGCTCTGTGAGACTGCAGTTGGTCCGAGTTGCTGAGCCGAGACCTTGCACATCTCGCACCTCCCGAGGCTTATTCCATCCTTCCCTCCTCCTCCTCTCTTCGATATTTCWGATACATTAATTTATTTCCCCACAAGCAGGCTTGGAGGAGCTGCAATCACCTGGAGACTTGGAAGCACTCAGCAAGGTAAGAGTAAAGTTTGGTCCTGGCTTCTGAAATGTGGTTTTGGGGGTGGTGTGAGTGCAAGAAATAATTTTTATTAAGAAGGCACAGTTTTAGTGATTTCTTCAAAAAGTTGCCTGGGTGGTATAAAATAACCCAATGCTGTCTGAGCTTCTGCTCTGCAGAAGTTAAGATTAACCAGCATTRATCTTGAATGAATGGGAGGAGTTTGCCACTCCAGGAGTGGATTTCTGTGCAAACAGAAAATATCCAGGGGATGCTGTTGCAGCCTCTAGGAGCTGATACCTGCAGGCACATTTGTGTGCTCCAGGCTGCCTGTGTTTGTCCAGCTCTGCTCTCAGCTCCTGCAGGAAAGGAATCCCGGTGTCACCGCCTGTGGTGTCTGTCAGCAGTGGGTTTTCCTTGTGGTTTTCAGTAGAAACTCACCCACTTGSGTTCTGGGGGAGGGGATTGAAATGGAAGACCCAGATGTTTTGGCCCMTGGCCTTGAGGATGCTGGATCTGTGGTGTGCTCAGTGMACTGCTGTTCTGWGTCAAGGAAYATCTCATCCTGCTTTTCTTTGGAARYAAACRCAATTCTGCAAATCCTGCAGTGTGTGCATCCCAGAGAAACATGAGCTGGAGGTCAGTGCATCACGGGGGGCTCCATCCCTGCATTTCTTTGCACAGGTTAAAGTTGATCCCAGGCTAACCCAGGCTAAAAGCTGATCCCAGGCTAACTCATCCCAGGCTAACTCATCCCAGATCCCAGGCTAACTCAGGTTACAAGCTGATCCCAGGCTCAGTTTAGCAGCTGATCCCAGGCTAACTCCCCTCTGCTTTGCTGTTTAGATGCTTTCCTGCTATCCTGAGCTAACTTTGCACTTTCTTTCCTGCCATGTGCTGCTTTCCAAGCTCTGGGATGTTTTAGCTGCAAATGTCACCCATAACCCGGGCACCCACTTGTGTGCTTTAGCAGGGAGGCAGTCAGAGCTCGATATCCCTAAGGAACAAGGTGACATGAGGACACCAATCCAGGATCAGCCTGCATGTGGCTTGAGCAGAGCCTSTGCCAGGCTTCAGATGTGACCAGCTCTCCTGCTTTCCGTGCGAGGCAGACACCATCCATTAGCTGGGGAAATAGCTTTCTAAAAATAATCTTTCCCAAAGTCCAGTGCTGCTCTTTAACTCCCTCAGACCCCAGAAGAAGGCCTCCCATTTCTCCCCACTCTGGACAGGCTTTACAGCATATTCAGGAGTCGCTTTCTGCTGACTCAGTCATTTCTGATGGCTCCCAGATGTTCACCTGGCACCAGTGTCAAGRGCCAGATGTGCTTAAAGGGAGGTTGTGCTCCTCCTGAACCCTTGAAATCAGCAGCCGAGGCTTCCTCAGCTGACTGTCAGCTGAGAATTTTCTGTGAATAATCCCAAAGACAACGTGATCTCAGCCTCCCTGGACGAGGAGCTGCTGCTGCAGCCCTGCAGGACTCTGGGGCTGGTGGAGCTGGAACTCATGTCCAAGTGTTCCTCTGCACCTGGACATGAGAGGCAGATGGATGGACATCTGAAATCCATGAGTTCCTTCTGAAACGTGAGCATCTTTCAGCTGCTTTCAATTAATCTGACCAGGGAATTTCTGCTCCCAGTCCCTCTCTGATCCTTTTATCCTTCCTTGGGATGCTCAGCGCTCCTCACCCCGAGGAAGGGACTCGCTGAAATGGAAGATCAAACCAGAATGACCTAATTTCAGAGAGGTGCTGCTGTCCTTTTCTGGCGAACGGGACCCCGGGAAGCRCATCCCGAGGAATAATGCTYCATCTGTTGGGAGTTTTTGGCCGCRCCGCCGAGCCAGACGCGTTGGCTTCTCTTCTCCGTGAGCCGGGCAGCTCCTCCGGCTCTCCCGGGCTGCAGCTGATCTTTTCAATCTGCCCTTTCTGCAAGCTCAGTGTTTGCCTTAGATGGGTTTGGGCTCGAGTTTAGCCCAGGGCAGGCGGCCAAACGAGGGGTGCAACGGCCGGCTGCTCCTGCGGGGAGAGCTGCCGGGGCTAAATGGCCGCATTGTCAATAGCCCTGGCAGCGCGGCTATTTTTAAACTCACGGGGAAGTGCCTCAAAGTAGGAATTGTTAGCTGGATTTGGGTCAGGCGGGTCTACAAAAAGCGGCTGCTCCTTTTGCCTCCGCTCGGCAGCCCGGTTGGAAAATCGCGCTCGGGGGGAAAGGAGAGCCGCAAAAAGCGCTGCGGGGAGGATGAGGTTAAAGGAATGTCTGTCCCCATGTGCCTGTCCTGTCCTCCAGGTGTCCCTGGAGCTGGGGACAAGGCGAGTGTGTTCGGAGCAGGAAATGATGAGGAGCTGTTGCCCAAATGGAGACGATGACACCCGGCATTGTTGTAGCCGGGCAGAGGCTCCATGCGCTGCCTGGAGAAGCTCAGGACAGCTGGTTTTCATCTGCCTCGATGTTCAGGCCAAGAAAGAAGCCTCAGACAGGGACTCTGTGTCTTTTGTGCAGTCAGCCGACAAGTTTTCGGGGGTTCTTGGTGTTCTCTTGGAGTTTTTTCGAAATCTCTGCCTGTGCAAAGCACCTCGTGCTTGCCATTGCTCTCTGCACGGTGTGGGGAACGGGGATTTGGGGCTCTGTGCTCAAATGTAGCTTTTCCAGCGGGGAATTAGATGGCTCTTCCCTGCTTTGGTTGGCTTCCAGCTCRTCTGGTCTCAGCGTGTCCAAATCCCGTGTCATTGGATGAAACTTCTCAAATAATTCCTCCTAATCTGGGGTCTGTTTCCTGCAAAAGAATGCTTTCAGCGGGGCTTTCAACAGTGCTGTCAAAACCAGATCCGCACCTCGTGCTGGAGATGGGGACGGGGAAGCTTTCTTCCAAAAATTAACCCTGAGGAGGGGTTGCACTGTGCTTGCAGTGTCTGTTCAGATGCTCCCTGCCCCGCTGATGGGTAGCGTGTGCTGCACAGCCCTGCAGCGGCACATCCTGCCTCCTGTGAGCAGCTCCCGAGCCAAATAAAACCGGCCAGGAYGCTCGAGGGCCGATGGATGGAGAAATTGGAGCACAGGGGGTGGAAACGCTCGGGAATGACCGGCGGAGCAGGAGCACCACGGAGCAGGGGACAGCGATTAAACAGCGATCTTTGTCGCTGTTCAGCGACCAAAGCGAGCCCCTCTGTCGGTGCTGACGGCATCGGGAACACCTAATCTGGCCGGGGGAGGGCGGCTGCAGCCTCTGCTCCGTAACTCACATCCCTGGCAGCGCTCCCGCCCGCCGGGGAGCGTCAGCGAGAGCCCCGCGGTGCGTCACCGGCACATTTCCCATCGACACAGAAATGTCAGGGAGCCCGGCAGCTGCTCTGCTCTGCTCTGCTCTGCTCTGCTCTGCTCTGCTCTGCTCTGCTCTGCTCTGCCGCAGCCTCCGGAACAGCCCTGCTGCCTCCTGAGCCTCTGGATGACTCCAGATCTCGGTGGAGGGATGGAGCTGGGGTTACTCGGAGATGCTGGACAGGGATGCTGCAGGTGCAGAAGGCATCCTCCTGCATTCCCAGCTCAGCATCAGTGGAATTCCCAGGTGTGATAAACCGAGCCCTCATCACTTGTGGGGTTATTCAGATCTTCCTGTTGTTATTGGGGTGGGCAATAATTGTAGGCATCACTCTTTTCCAAGCACAGATCTGGGCGGTGTGACCTCTTTGCTGGGGGWYWRATGSACTGAGAGCTCCTSTGGCACTGCCCTGACTGCCTGTTTCTCCCCAAATTCCAGACCTGCCTTGAGCCACGGGAATCCCTGCAAAGAACCCCAGCCCCATCTCCATCTCTGCTGCTGYTGCTGGCTGTGGAGGAGGCAGCATGAGCCCTGCCCTGCCGTGGATCGCTGCTCTGGGATGTGTGCTGCTGCTCACACAGACAGCYGAGTGCTTCATCCTGCCCAACTCGAGTCACCTGGAGAGCATCCTGAGCAAATACCAGCATGGGGAGGCTCACTCCAGATCCAAGAGAGCCATTCTGTTCTCAGACAGRCAGGAGATACTGATGCTCCACAATAAACTCAGAGGGCAGGTGTATCCAGTGGCCTCCAACATGGAACACATGGTGAGTCGAGAGCCWGAGAAATCACTTTATTACTACTTTTTATATTTTTGTTTTTGTCCTAACTGCATTTTAACTTTCCTTGCGGTGCGAGAGGTGTAGCGAATTTCCTCTGAAGTCAGTTTTTTCTCGAGAGGTTTCCTGAAGCATTTCATTCCAGAGTGAAGGATGCTTTAGAGAAACAACCTGTTTTGTTTGGAAAGGGCTGCTGATGGGTCCCCATCCTCTTCAGGCTTCAGGACTGGTTCCATTATTCATAAAGGASCGTCTGGCCCAGCCCTGGATGCATCTCTCTCCACTGATGGCAGCTCCCCARCCTGCCTCAGCAGGTTCTTCCATTACCTCCCTGCCATAAAAGCAGCRCATTTTCCTCAGAATTTAACCCCTGTGAATGCTTTCAGGCTGTTGTTTGGGGTTTGGGGACACCACTCTCTGCACCRTGCTACTGGGAATCTGCACAGGAAAAAAAGGGCCTGAGGAATGCAGCTCCATCTGCAAAGAATTTCAGTCACTGGGAAGAGCTGGAAAGGCTTTGCGTGGATGGGTCAGTGCTGGTGGGTTTTGTAGTTCAGGAAACCAAAAGAAAACTTTGGTCAATGYATTCTCCCACTTCAGAGGGAGAACTTAAAAGTTGGAGGAGCATGAAATACGCCTTTGCCACCAACAATTCACATGAATAGTTTTTCTTCACCTGATGCCAGAGACCCTGCTCTGAGCTATTTTTTGCCGTGCCATCAAAACATTATGGGGCCACAAAATGATGTAGGCAAATAATTACTTTTTGTATGCCTTTTCCCAGTGTGAAAATACAGTTCTGACCAGAGCTGGTCTGACTTTAGCCGTGCTCTCCTGCTGACGGCTCAAATGATGGATGATTTGTTAAGCCCGTGTTTAAAAGGGGTAAAAGAAAAGCACGCTGAAATGTAACTTAAAATWGTTTGCCAGCTGTGCTGAAGTGAGGGCTGCAAATGGAAAATCCTGCCTTTTGTGACTGCAGGGAGGAGGGGAAGAGAAGGGGARGGTGGGGGATGTGAGGAAGGACAGCTGTCCCTCGGCTGGGCCACACCAGCAGTGACACCGCTGGTTTTTGGTCCTGTTTTTGCCAGAAATCCCGTGCCTTTCTAAGAACCAGGGGTTGAATCCCTCTCTCAACATCCCTCCTGTCATCCTGCAGGGCAGCACTGCCAGAAGAGGCAGCTGGGTTGATGTCCAGAGGGCAAACACAAAGGCTGAGCGGGGCTGATATGTTTGGGTTGGCTGTGGTGCCCCGGCCCCGGTGTTTGCCTTTGCTCAGGGAGCTTTTCTGGTGGTTCCTGTGGGCAACTGAGGGCAAATGAAAAGRTCTTATGTGCTCTGAGCTGAGCGTGACATGGGGCTGCTGGAAGGGCCATAATCAGCCTTTCATGTGCTCCTGTTTACCCAGCACGRTTTGGAAATGCCGTGTATGTGCTGAACGGCAATTTCTCTTTAATCCTTTGTCCTGCAGAGGACATTTCTCATTTGGACTCGTTTCAGAGGATGGGCTGTCTTTAGAACCACAGATAAACTTTTTCCTTTTGGTGCCAGAGCTGAGTGTCACTGGAGACGTGCTGGGATAATTTGGGGATGAGTTGGTAGAACTTGTTCTTCCCATCAACCTCCAAACACTCCCCTGTGAAAAGTCCTCTCTCCCAGCTYCATATCTGACGTATTTAAGTGGTCTAAAATGGAAATGGGAGCTAATGTATTCCAGGAAAGGGACATATTTCACTGTTACTGGATGAACTTCAGTTGTTGGACACCGTTAATAGGAAAGCAAGGACACAGTGAGTCCTGTGAGTTATCTGGAGATCAAAAGAATTATTRTGTACATGTGGGAGAAAGGTAAAGTGGACTGAAAAAATGAAGAAAGAAACAGTTTTGCTGCTGGGTTTGTGTGATTAATTGAAAGCTGGCACGGATATTCAGCATTAATGGAAGATGAGTGAGCAGTGCACAACTTCTGACAAAACTGGGCCAGTTCAAAATTATTTTAACCCCTCTACCAGCTCCGTGAGTGACACTGTGCATTTGGACTGTTTAACAGAGGTGGATGGGTGCCAGGGCCAAAACAAACTCCTTGTTAATAGTCCCAGAGAAAAAAGGACATAACGGACCCAGAGGAAAAAGGACATAATGGATCCTAAAGGCATGGTGACCTTTTGGGATGGCTTAGTCAGACGCTTTCAGCAGTGATGAAAGGCAGAAATCTTTCCTCTTGYGGCGGCCTCAGAGACAGCTGGATAAAAGAGCAAAATTGTTCTCGGTGCAGATTGCTGGAAGGAAAATAGTTGTTGGTTTTCATGTGTAAGGTATGCATCCTTCCTGTYGACTGCAGGGTGGTGGCTTTGCCCYGTCAGGATGGGATTGTGTTTCTGAGGGAGTGAGAAAGCATGGCCTAACCTCTGCCAGGGCATGGCAGTGCTGGAGTTTGATGTCACTTTTAAAAGGAAGCTGGGGAGGAAAAGGAGTGAGGAACCTGATCCCGGCAGCTCAGGGTTCTGGGTTTGGGTTTGCAGACTCCTCAGGCTGAGCAGGCTCCTTGTGGGATCGTTATCACACATGGACCCACAATTTGTGGTGTAGTGTGTGTGTGCCATGCAGATATTTTACACACCCTCTGTACACTCTGCTTTGAAAGGCCACTATAAACCTGCAGGAGTGAAAAAAAAGAGAGTCCATGTGCAAAATCGTTTGGAATCGCACACACCCAAAGGATTCTCAGCTTCTGGAGAAAACTGAGCACAGGCTCCTTGCCCTTCTGGCTTCAGTYGTCTTCCTAGACACTGCTTTGAATATTGGCATGAAGAATTCTTGCAAGTATAGCTGGGAAAGTCTGAAATCTCTTCCATTTTTTTTTTTTTCTTTCCCCCACTATGTTTATTGCTCTGAAATAATTCCAGCCCTCCTGACCGCATTCTCGTCTGAGAAGCAAGAGGCAAATAACTGCTCTAATTGCGATGGGACGGCTTTGTAATGTGATGCCTGCAGAAATGAGCTCCTCTCCYCATGCAGCAGAAAGCCGTGCCGAGGTGCAGCTCCTTCCCAATTACCTGTTGAGTGTCTTTTGTCCGAGTTCATTTATTTCAGCCCGCAGGCATCAAAGGGAGATATTAACGCATACGCTGGCGTTAATTCCCGTTTAATGGCCTGCTGCTCGCGACGTGTCTGCGTTAAATTAGGAGATTTGGAGCATCTCCGCCTCCGAGGCTGTAGGGAATRAAGCTGGATGGGAAGCCTGAGGAGCTCGGGGTGTAGAAAGTCTTGGGAGAGTTTCTGTGGTTTTTTGGGGCTGCGAAAAGCTGGGACAGTGCCTGGGCAGGGCTGGGAACGCGTGTGGTGGGTCTGACCCACCTCAAGGAGTGGAGGGCTGAGAAGGAAAATGGGTTTATTCCATTTATTCCAGAGTCAGAGCCGTGTCCACACGGGTTCTGCAGGCTGGCGTGAATTTGCTCGGTCACGACTTGGTCCAAAGCTGAGCTGGCCAGCTCTGGGATGCTGCTGGAATCCGGATTGATGAAAGTACTTTAGGATAAGCMGTTCTCAGAGGCCTCTGAGCTCAGTGAGATGAGCTCATGTTTGCCTCGCTGAGACAGTGGAAACAGCCCGAGCTCCAGGAGATGCTGCGTTTTCCTGTTCTCTCACCCAGGGATGTGCAGAACCTCCCCATCCCAGCCCCAGATCGTGCCCAGAACGAACCCTCGATGGTTTTGAAATGCCCTGCAGCCCTCCAGGCTCTGACAGGTCCTTTGAAATGCTTGACATCACAAATTTCTTCCCTTCCGGGGAAGACAGGGCTTGTGAAGAGCAGCTGGTTGTGATGGTGAGCGTCCAAAGAGGACAGCCTTGTGCTGGCACGTGAATGAACRTTACAAGAGCCCTCTTCTCTTTGGTTTTATCTGAAGGAATGTGCGGTAATATTTTAATCCCAACGAATTATCCTCTGAGGGCTGTTCTGAATAGAGCAGCTGTCAGTAATTACACAATGAATTCAGGGCACTGGCGGCCGGGCCCAGCAAGTCTGGCCTTTAGAACAAACACACTCCTGGGCAGCAGAGCCAGCAGAGCTGCTTTCCTGTTTGCCTTTGTGTCGTTTTGGAGCTCTCCTTTGGCTGCCAGCCGGGTGATATTGGATGAGGAGTGAGCTCACAGCAGCATCCTGCYCTCAGTGGAACAGAGATGGGATTTGTCACTTGTAACGTGATGCCTGAGTGCAATAAACTCAGCAGTCCTGGGGTTTTGCCACCTCTGGTGTGTTTGACTGGATCCATTGGTGGATTCTCAGTTATTCTGGGTGGGATTGGGAGGCTCAGCTCCTTCATTCAGAGGTTGGATCAAAGATTTGGAGATGGTGGAGCTCTCCACATTCCTTGATGGGGAATATCCCAGCAGTGGATGGCAAATCCTGCTGAGCTSCATCAAAGCACTGACTGTATATCACAACTCTTGCAGGACTCAAAAATACGTGTCATGTTAAAGATCATGGTATCTCCAACCTTGGCTTTTAATTTTTGATCTTTTAAAAAGCAGTAGAAAAACAACTGCCAAGAATATCTCGTGGTTTAGGGTGGATGGCCTTAGGTGTGTTTTTCAGGTCTTCCCAGGTGTGTTTGTGTGTTTTCTGCTGACCTTTCCTGAGAAGCATGGGATCAGCTGAGGAAGATCATAAACTCTTTAGTTCTCTGGCCTTTCATGGCAGGGGAACACTTTGAGAAATGTTATTTTAGATTGGGGCACATGACAGAAATGCACTGATTTCACCAGGACAGGCTGGACATGGCGGATGATCTGTACATTACCCTTTCTCCTCTGAGTGCTGTTGGTTCAACCTCTTGATCTAACAGGTTTGAGATGAAGAACTGACCTGTTTTTTTGTTTTTTTTCTTCTCTCCCTGCACAATGAAGACCTGGGACGAGGAGTTGGAGCGCTCAGCACACTCTTGGGCTCAGCAGTGCATTTGGGACCACGGCCCCAGCGACCTCATCAGGTCCATTGGGCAGAACCTGGCTGTGCACTGGGGCAGGTGAGAGCTGGGGGTGCAGGATCATTGCCAAGGGCAATTTGGGGATCTTCCTTTAGAGATGGTTGGGAAGGTTTGCTTTGCTCACCGTGGAGAAAAGCTGGGGATCACTGATTGTGATGGCAGCAGCCACTGCCTCTTCCCAGGAAACCAGTGCTGATTTGGGATCCTCCATGGGATAACACCCCTGTACCCTGCTAAAGGTCAYTCCTTCTCCTAAGGAAAGCAGGGACAGAAGTCTTAACCCTAAACTCGCTCCTAAATCTGCTGTTTTGGGCAGGGTTCTGCCATTGTGCAGAGAAACAGCTAAAAGCTAAAGTTTCTCAGGAGCAATATCTGGATTCAGCTCAGAATTTATGTCTTGATTCAGTTCAGAGTTTAATAATCTCTTGCTGTATTTTCCATAAATATTTATTCAGCTCCTGATTTCTTTTTGCTGAAAACACTTTGCAGGGTTGGTTTGTTTTTATGTTTTTTTTTTTTTTTCAAATTCCTGGGACAAGTTTTAAACTAGAGTCATTAACCCAGTTAGGAAAGCTGACATGAGGGCTTCCAAACGGATTTTCCTCTCCATCTGGAGGTGAAATTTATTTATTGTTAAGCCCCTATTGTTAAGGTTCTTRTAGGTTAAACCTGCTTTGCACAGCAAACATTTTGCTCTTGCTCAGGAGCTCGGAGTGTTTTTTTTTTCCCCATTTCCTGGGTGGAAGTGCAGTTATGTTTGCTGTAAACCAGGCAGCACTTGGTGGAAAGCAAAGGAAATGTGCTGATGTGAAATTAGGCTGAAATTAAAATTTGGCCCATTTTTGTTGGCAGAATTAACTAAAGATTGGAAAATAKAGTGGTTAATTAATTGGAAACAAAGCCAAAAGATTGTGCTGTTCCTGGCTCTCCCACAAATGCTCAGGATGGCCATTGGTTTTTGATGGAGGAAGAGCCAATCTTGCTCCCTTTGAGGTCCCTGAGAGGAAAGAAAAATCAGATTTATCTCAGCTTTTTCAGGAATGGGCSATGACTTGATTGCCTCCATTTCCTCTCCTGTTAAATAGGACTAGGAAAGAATTCGCTTCATGACATCATGAGATGGCTGTTTTTAAAATACTCCTAATGAATGATTTTTAATGAAAAAGTTGGCTGGAAGGATWAGCTCCAGTTGGTAATGATATCACTCGGATTTCTGGCAGCCTGGGAGCTCCTGAAAGCCATCAAAAGCACAGGGTTTGGTGGAGTTTGCAGATCATTCTGAGCAGCGTGTAAAATGTGTGAGCAGCGTGTAAAACGTGTGTAAGAGTTCCTGCAGGTGGTTTTGACACCCTTTGTGCTCCCCAAAGAGCACAAACAGCACCAGACTGTGGTGTTTGGAGCAGAGATTACCCACAGGGAAAATTGCTGCCAAAAAAAAAAGGCAGGAGAGGAGTGTAGTGCACCAACCACTCCAGAGCAGCTCCTGGTGGGATGGGGGCGAGGAAAAACCCACTCACCTTCCAAGATTTCACAGTTTTGGCTGTGAGTGAACTGCCAGATTTAGCAAATTGCCCCGTGGTGGAATAGGTGCATGGTGGATGTTGGGTTAAGGTGCTTGGCAAAGCCTAATTTGTGTTTATTTTCAAAACACAACTTTCTGCCAAACTAGAAGTTATTTTGTAGTCGTGTGGAAAAGTGAGGAGGGCGTTTTGGGTCAGCGGCACTTGAGGATTGTGTCAAACCTATAAATAATGCAGAGKCAGGTCAGGCTGTGAGGCTGAGGGAAAAATCATAGAAACACACGACAGTTTGGKTTGGAAGGGACCTCAAAGATCAACCACCCTGACATGGGCAGGGCCACCTTCCACTGTCCCAGGTGGCTCCAAGCCCTGTCCAACCTGACCTTGGRCACTGCCAGGGATCCAGGGGMAGCCACAGCTTCTCTGGGCACCCTCCCCACCCTCACAGGGAACATTTCCATCCCAATATCCCATCTTAACCCTTCACCTTTAACATTTTCAAACACTTCTTTATTTTTCTTTTTTATTTTTAATTTGAAATCTTCTACCAGAAGACTGACTCCTTGTCGTGATTCCTTTCCTCCCTCATTCCCATGACTCCTTTTCTGCCCAGGTATCGCTCCCCAGCGTTCCACGTGCAGTCTTGGTACGATGAAGTGAAGGATTACACATTCCCATATCCCCACGAGTGCAACCCGTGGTGCCCAGACCGCTGCACGGGTGCCATGTGCACACACTACACCCAGGTAAACAACCCCAAGGGCTTTGTTCCAGCAWYCCCCACATCCCCCTGCGTCYAAATTGGGCTAATTTACCGATTTCCAATCACTGGAACAAAAACATTTCCCTTACAGATAGTCTGGGCCACCACCAACAGGATTGGCTGTGCCGTGAACGTCTGCAAGCAGATGAATGTGTGGGGAGAGATCTGGGAGAACGCCGTCTACCTGGTGTGCAACTACTCCCCCAAGTAAGGCAGGGCTCTCTCCAGCTCTCCCAAAACCTGCTCAGCTAGCTCAGGGGCTGGGGAAAAGATTTTGGACAGTCTAGACTGGTGTTTGTGGCTTTAAATTTTTTTTTCTTTAGACAGCAGCGCGGGGCTGGTTCAAAACTACCGAACGTTGCCTGGAAAACTGAATGAGCAACCGAGGCCAGGCTGGAGCTTTGATGTTCCTGCCACGGGAAGGGAAGGGAAGGAGGAGCAGGAGATGGCCAGCATGGAACTGGCATGTGCTGCTGAGCAAGGCTTGCTGTCACAGGGTGGGAAGGGATGGGGTGGTGGCTGGTGCCAAAAAAACCCAGAAATAACTGCAGAAGTCAAGATTTCACTCGCTCGACAGCTTGATTGAATTTCAAAATGAAAATCAGATTTCTTGCCTACTACATCCAGGAGAAGTTTMCTACCTGGCAGTGGCGGTTTAATATTTTCTGTTTTAATGGCTAATAGGAGAAACATTCCCGCTTGGCAATTTAAAAGTTCAAAACAAAACAAAATGGGGAAATCGCTCCGTGCAGAAACGGAGAGAACTGGGGAGCATCTGACAGTGGGGCATTGTAGTGCAGAATAATGCAAAGGAAAATGATGTATGGGGCTGGAGCTGCCATGGCCCAGGCAGAGCTCTCTGRGTGGGTTCTCCAAGCCCCTCTCTCATGTCAGATGAGCACATTTTGCTGGTGGGATTTACCAACCTGCTCCTGGTGGGGGATGAGCCATCTCCCTGGGCCATKTGCACATCATCCATTCGGGGCTGCTGGATGGAAAAACACTCAATTTCGGCAGCTTCTGCTTCATCTTGTCTCTCTGGCATGGGTGCACATTGTCCTCATGTAGCYTTATAGGTGGAGACAGCTGAAAGAGCATAACCCAGCAGTTCACAGCCACGGCTTAACCTCCTCATCCCCGAAAATCTGCAGGATGCTGTGCCAAAAAGGGCTGTTGGTTCTGGGGATTTTCTCCAGCAAACACAGTAATCCACTGATTTATTTCTGCTCACACAAGATCCCAGTGCTTCTACTGGAATTTAATACAAAAACGGCTTCTTTAAATGTCATTTTGGAGGAGAAACCAGGAGGAACATACATCTTTCCTATGAGGCAGAACATCTTTCCTGCAAGGCGGCTTGTCCAGTTTTTATTTAGTTGCTCAGGGCCAGGGTGTTGTTTCTGGTTTTGGGGGCTGGGAAAGGTGTTTGGGTGTGTGATGGGTGCTCATTTCTGCTCTCTCAGGGGTAAYTGGATCGGGGAAGCTCCGTACAAGACCGGCCGTCCCTGCTCCGAGTGCCCGCCGAGCTACGGGGGGAGCTGCCAGAACAACCTCTGCTACAAAGGTACCTGTGGGGGCTTGGGACAAGGCTGGGGAAAAATGTGAGAGCTTCTAATTAGCGCCAGCCACTGATTTATGCACCTTTTAATTAGCAATCCTYGGTATTCYRWCAYGGGAACAWGYRGGAARCCWTCAGCYGCTGCTGAAAYYSAGAATTCCYGAGCTGCTGAAAACCTGGAGCTCAGGCTCAGCACGTTTTCCTGGTGAAAACAGAGTGCTTGGATGGGCAGAAGCAGCTCTGAGCTTCCAGGGGTTTGGCATGGGAGCTGCAGTGGGGTTTGGAGCTCTGGCAGGCTGTGGGTGGGAGCAATCCCATCCTTGTGGGGTTTTTTTTGGGAAGGGAATGTTCTCCAGTGCTTCCCAAAGGCATTGGGGGCTGGGGATGGAGCCTTTGCCCTCTCCCCATCCTGGGTTTTTAGTGAATGTAGTGACTCGTGGCTCTTGGAGGACAGGAGGGGGATCCTGAAGGTTTTTCCTGACCCGTGGTGTTTTCTTGGAAGGGAGGTCAATAAAATAAAACTCATTATTGATGTAAATCCCCCAGTGCTGCCCCAGCACCCAGCATCTCCTGGGCTCATCTCTCTCCTCCCAAGTGTTTTGTTTCCCAGAGGACTGGGAAATCTGAAAACAGGGAGATCGCCTGGACATCTGCCCAAAGCAGAGGCTCATTTTGCTGCCAAACTCACGTTTCTCATTTTTGATCCTGTGGGGGTAGAGGGAGGAGCCCAGGGTGCAGGTGGGGCAGAGAGAGGGATGCCCTTGGAACATGAGCCCTTCAGCAAATCCGTGTTTTCCTCCAGGGGGAAGAGCTGAGTGGGAAACAGAGGAAGCAATCCCACTAAATTTCTCAGTAATTAATGGGGATCCCATCAAATCTTTATTGTGAGGTGCCACAAATGCAGCCTCACACACAGGGGAGCAGGAGAGGAGTGTCCTGGCTGCATTTTTGATCTGTTCGAATGCAGATCCTTCTCAAACCAAGTCATTCCTCCCAAAAACACAAACCTGACCTCTCCACCAGTCTGAGCTCGYTGTAATTTCTGTAATTCCTTTGCCAAGATCACCGTTATGAGGATCCCAGCATTGCTGAGGCAGACGAGACCAACGAGGTGGAGATCTCGGAGCAGAAGCCAGCACGGTTCCACCCTCAGGAAAACAAATCCAGCAAACCCATCAAACCCAAGAAAATCACCCCAGAATCCTACATGAGTAAGACACAGCCCCTGGCTCTTTCAGATCCTATCCATTCTAAGGCATCTTCATGTGGAAAGTGATGGGGAGGATCAGGGACGAAGGAACTGGGGGGATGTTGGGGTGGAGGGGGAGGTGAATTTTCATCTGGGTGAAAATTCACCACTAGTTGTGTGGAAAACTGACAGAAGTGGTGAGCAGAACTCTCAAAAAAAGCTTTCTGTGTACTTTCTGTGCATCAGTCTGCAAAAGTGATGTGTTTGTTTCAGTCATTTCATGGAACCCTGGGATGGTTTGGGTTGAAGGGACATTAAATCTCATCCAGTGCCACCCCTGTCATGGGCAGGGACACCTTCCCCTGTCCCAGGGTGTTTCTTCTTTATTTCTTGCTCTTTTCCAGGGTTTACAGTTCATTTCCTCTTTATTTATTGCTTTTTTCCGGGGTTTACAGTTTGTTTCCTCTTTATCTCTCGCTTGGGAACATTTCTCAAGTTTTTTTGTGGAACTGATGTTTCCTGATCCATTTTCCAACCGCTCTTAATTAAAAGACACTTATTGAGAGAGCAAGGCAGGGCAGGCCAGTGGGTCCTTTTCAACTTTATCTGCCAGCATCTGGAGAGTCTGTAATTAAAAAAAAAGGAGGAGGAGAGCCCTGCCTGCAGACCTGGGGCTGTAAATCAAATAAATCAAAGCCTCTCGCTGTATCCTCCTTGCTGATATTCCATAGACACCTGTCTCAGGTGAAGGGCTAAAAAAGCTCAGACTGCCCCAGGCTGAATAAATGAAGATTTTTATCTTGCTGCACCCAAAACCTCTGGGAAAGATGTGCAGAGGTTGTTCATCTCAGTATGGGAGCAGGCTGAGCAATTTCCTGTTGAAAAAAATGTATTTATTTGATTTTTTTTTCTTTTTTTTTTTTTTTTTTTTAAAGACTCTCTAGCTAGATCTCTTCAAGAAAACCCCCAAAACCCAACCAAGAAATGACCCTAAATTTCTGTTAATACCAGCTTTCAGCCAAGCCTGGCAATAATGTGATTTGCCTGATTTTATTCAGCCACGATGCCCCACAGTTTCAGGTGCCCAAAATAATTGAATAAATTTTGTCAGAGTCATTTTTTTGAGCCCATTTCATGCATTCCACTGCTGTCCAAGCCAGACCAATAATTCATGGCTTCTCCCCTCCCAGCCAGTCAAGAACTTCTGGTTAAGGTTTCTGCAAAGAACAGGACAGTTTATCACTTGGAGAAACCCCAAACCCACAGAATCTAAATATTGGTCGGGCTCTTAAGGAGGGTGGAGCAACTATTTTAAAAAGTAGCTATTTTGCAATCCTGTTTTCAAAATGGGAAGAGTTACGTGAAATGAATGGAATGACTATTAAATGAAATAGAGTCAAAGTCTGTTTTTCTTGAATTGTTTTTKTCGCCACCCTCAAAGATATATATCTTTGCTAGGTATTTGTGCCCAGCTGGCTGCTTGTACAGTAAAGGAAAAATCTTTGGAACATTTTATTACGAGAGTGTAAGTAGCTTTKAATAGCTCGGGGATGTAATTTGTGGGAGTCGGTGGGAATGACAGAAATGGGAAATGCCAGCCATCCCTGGTGTAATTTGGCTTTTTGTGTGTTCTCCCCTTGTGGTGCTAATAAAGATTATCTGTGTTTTCCTCATCTCCGAGTTGAAAGAAGGGAAGGGCGCTGGGAAGGCAAAGTGATTCCAGACGTGATTTAATCAGGAATTGTCTTTAATGTGGACACCCATGGAAAGCGAGGGGTGGGGATCAATAATCAGCTCTTACAAAGATCTCTTCATTCATGGGGGCAGCTGTTAATATGAGCAGAAACTTTATATGGAAAACACTGTTAAATGTTGTGACTAAATAATATTTTGGGCCAGTTTGTTGGATCTTGAATTAGCAAGGTAATTTATAAATAAAGCACAGTGCTGTTTTCCCATCAAAACTACTTTTAGGGTGAAGGAATTTGGAAGATAAAAGGATTTTTTGGGTAAAATAATCTTTTCTTTCCCTATTCCAACTGCTGATGAGTGACTGCATCACCCATGATGTGCCTTTACCCCACAACTCCTGTGACTGCAGACACCCATCCCCTCYGAGTGGCGTCAGCAGAAATATTTTGGGTTTGAATACTTTACCAAGAACTGGAAATATTTCAGACTGCTCGCTCGCTTCCAATGCTGCTTTCCCTCTAAATTGTATTTAAATGTATGGTTTTGCTATTTAAAAAAAAAAAAAAAAATCTTGCCATTCAACCGGGCAGCGCTTAAAATAATAGTAATAAAAGAATAAGGCTGTGTTGGGAGAGGAAGATTTAACAACCAGATTCCAAAGGGGTGTGCTCAGCTCATTTTCCACTCGGTGCCTTGGTGGTGGTTTCTTTCCTTCTCCATTTTTTGTACCGTGGTAGGGCAGCACTGCTCTGTGAAGTGGATTGATTTTTCAAATCAATCAAACCGAAATCTGACTGATTTCTCAAATCAATCAAACCAAAATCTGACTGATTTCTCAAATCAATCAAACCAAAATCTGACAAATTTTTCAAATCAATCAAACCAAAATCTGATTGATTTCTCGAATCAATCAAACCAAAATCTGACTGATTTCTCAAATCAATCAGACCAAAATCTGACTGATTTCTCAAATCTCAAAACCAAAAGAGATATTTTTTATCTCCTGTCAGTCCTCAAGCATCTGTCGGGCTGCCATCCATTATGGGATCCTGGACAACAAAGGGGGGCTGGTGGATATCACCAGGAAAGGGAGGACCCCTGCATTTGTGAAGTCCACCAGAAACGGCGTGGAGTCCTTCAGGTACTGCTTTCACCAAAAATTTCAATATTTGATTTAAATATGAGCAGATGCTCAATCATCTTTGTTGCTTTTACCTAGACGCAGTGATCTGATTACTTTTTTAATAATTTTTTTTTTCTTTTTTTACAGGAAAAGCAAACCTTCAAATGCATTCATGGTTTCCAAAGTCACAAGTAAGTTTTAAAAGTTGAGGGGAAAAAAAAAATATTGTTGATGGAGTTTTATGGGGTACTTGAGAATACTGTTCCTTTCAGGGGTGTTTTTCATTTTAAGAGGTTGATTAAGGTGATCTGGAACCTTAAAGGGATTGTCCACACACCATGGGCAATTCCACCACCACACACCTCATTTTTCTGTGGGAATCTAAGAGGAAGGTAGAGAAAAAGGGGATAATGGACCGTTTGCAGCAGCATCTCCTGCTGATGGATCATGGCAGGGTCCAGACTTCAGCTGCTGATAGAAAGGGGTGGAAGATGAGCCATCCATGTATGAAAGCATCAGTCAAGTGTCAACACTTACAAAAACTTTAAAAAATAATAGCTAATTTCCAAGTACAGTAATGCAATGAGAAACAAAATACATGTGAAATTGGTTTTTAAGAGCAAGTTGTCACATTTCTGATGAACGTATCAATAAACACTGTTTCACTTTTTAAAAAATTCCCACTTTCTGGATATCTTTGTAAAATTCCTCCCAGAATTGCCTCTTTGATTAGACCCCCCTGAGCCCCTTTCAAGGAGAGGTGTCAGGATATTTGGGGGCTGTAACAAAATCCCAAASTGCAGGGTCAGCTCTCATCTYTCCTGWGATCTGTGACCTTTTTGAGATCACRTTGCAKTGTGGTGGTGRRATTCCTGCTGGGGAGATGCTCAACCCTCTCCTGGGATCCTGCTCCTGGTGCTCCCAGCTGGATAAAGATCTCACCAAATGGGTTCTGTGGCTGTGGCTTGTGTTTTCTGAGCTTTTGGGTCTAATAATTTGCCTTTCCGTGTTTCTCTTGGCAGCRCAGACTCTGGATTGTTACACCACCGTCGCTGAGCTGTGCCACTTCAAAAAGCCAGCGAGCCACTGCCCAAGGTAACACAAACCTGCCCAAATTCACCTTAAACCCCTCTCTGAGGAGGGGCAGCTTAACAGAGGATGCTGAGGGCRCTGAATTTGGGGGCTGGTGGGAACAGAGCTGATCCGTGTTTCCTCCTGCCACCATGCTTTTCTTGGCATCACGGTGGAAAATTCACCTTTATTTTTTTTGGATGGCTTCAGTAGCTCATCAGCCAGGTTACACAGTCCTGTCCCAGCCCACTCTCACATGGGAGTGTGCAATTTCACWCTCTTTGTCTATTTTTTTGTGGATTTACCGGGTTTTCAATGCAGTTTTCCTTTCCACCTTAAAACAGGGAAGAAGTTCGTTCCAGGAATAAATGGCAGGGCAGGGGGGAACAAATGCAGAGAATTGAATTAAAAGCACAGAACTGAGCAGAAATACAGGTTCTCCCCCTTGAAAGAGCCATAAAAGACCAATCCCCCCTCTGCTGGTCCAAACCCCACAATTTGCAGCTCTCCATCAACAACCAAATCTCATCTGAGGGGGAGCAAACAAATTTGCTGTTGTCACCTTCAGAGCAGATGCAGGCACTTGAAATCTCCCAGGAACTCAGCTGACCTTCCTGTCCAGCCCTGGCATGGAGAATAAACCTGAATTCATTGTTTTCCAGGATTTATTGCCCTGCTCACTGTAAGGACGAGCCGTCGTACTGGGCGCCCGTGTTCGGCACCAACGTTTATGCAGATGTGAGTGCAAAACTTCCAAACCTTCCCAGTCCCAGGGCTGGGGTGACACTTTGGGATTTGGGGGAAAAAGACACCCTCTCTTGTGGTCATTTCATGTGGGAATGGGTGAATGGGGTGAAAGATGGGGTCAGTGGGGTTGGGGATCCTTTTGCTTTCATCTCTGGTTTATTCTGAAGGATTTGGGTGTGTCATTCCACAACTCCTTGAGTTATGGTCAGTGGGTTTGGGGAGATGTTCTGCTCTCCAGAACTGTCTCATTCCTAGAGATTTAGGCATGACCCTTAAATTCCCCAAGCTTTGTGGGTTTCTCTGGCTSAGAAATCACAGTTGCCTTGTAAAAGCATTTTGGATTTACAGATGAGCACTGGAGAGCTTTTATTCCATACCATCCCGCTATAAATTTGGCAAAAAACGATCTCCCTCCCCTCTCCTCCTCTTTCTGGGAGATGAACAGAGTTTCTGAGCAGGCAGGGCAGAGCTCAGAGCAGTGGAAAGAGAGAGTGAGCTGGTTTTATGGGTTTGTTTTTCTGAGTTCTGCTCATGGGGATGAGCAGAGMCTCGATGCTAAAACTAGACAGAGTCATTTTCTTGACATCTCTTTGTATCAGGCCTCCAAAAACTGGGTCTCAATGTTTTTCCATCTGCAGGTGCCTGGTTATTTTGGGTTTTTTTCCTCATTTTCTCTTTTCCATCAGGCATTGTGCTCAGCAATGCCAGCTCCCTGGCTGCCCTGTGGGCTGCAGGAACAGTTTGAAAGCAGATTGTGGACCCCCAGTCTCGGGTCTCAAGAGCTTTGCAGGCTCCTGACAAAATCCACCCTGCAGAAAGCACGCAGCAATTTGAGGAAGCAATTTTGAAAGCAATTTTGARAAAAAAAAAAAAAAAAATCCCTATTTTTCATTTCGCTCAAGAGCAATTTTTTTTTTTGAAGGCAGAGCTGCACAAACAGGTTATCCTGGGTTCTGGCAAATCCACGCAGCAGCTGCCTCCCCACAATACCTGCCTCCTGCACGCTCACAACTGCAGGAAATGGGAAATTTTTTTCCTTTTTTACAGAGGACAAACCTCCCTCAGATTGCCCCAAAAAGGTCCTGTGATTATTGGGGTATGGGGTGAGGAGCAGCATCCCAAGCTGGCATGGCACTGACACAGAGGGATCAGGGTCCTTCCATGAACCCCCACTCCTGGGAATYGTTTCATAAATGGGGGCGTGGACGGTGGTTTGGGAGAAAAACCAAAAAGTAATAATGATAAAAAAATACTTGGCCAATGCCTCGAGGGTTTGGTTAAAGTTTTTTTGGGCTGTTGTGCTGACAGGGCGATGTGGGGTTGGTGTGAGGGTTGGTGCAAAGCAGGTGGAAACCATGAGACAGAGTTTGAGGAGGCTTGGATGATTCTGGGAATGCTCAGGCTGGGAAGTTGAGGAGAGAAACAGCCACTCCAGGCAGGGAGAATTTGGGGAAAGGTTTTACCCAGGGAGGAAGGGCTGTGCAGGATGYTGGGAATTAACCCAAGCCTGCTGCTGAGGAATAATTAACACAGGCAATGAGCTGGAKGAGACAAGTGCTGGTCCTCTGGGAGGCATCTTCCTGTCTAATGTGGCATCTTTGTGGCCCTGGAGGGCCTTGTGCTCTGACTGTGTCTTCTTAGGTAAACTTTCTGAAAGAAAATGAAGCATTTGACCCCATTTCCAGTCCCCACTTTTCTTTAAAATACAGTTCAGGGAATTCATGGGACCTTCATGAAGGTTGTAAAAGTTTTTAATCAAAAGTTGCTTTTGAGTTTCGTCAGGCTCTGTCATTTGTTACTCTGCCTGGCTCCTGGGTGACATAATCCTGCAAGGGAAGCCCATCCCCATCCTTCCCGAGAATTCCCATGGAGCCAGGAAAGGAAACACTTCCCAGCTTTGGAGAGAAGGATTTTATCCACAGCTCTGCAGTGGCTGGTTTGGGGAGAGAAGGATTTTATCCACAGTTGTGCAGTGGCTGGCTTGGGGAGGATGGATGAACGACCTGCAGGATGGCAGGAATTTGTCACCAGAGCAAACCGAGCTGGGAGCTCRGAGGAAACAGGAACTTAATGATGATTAACCAGTCACACTAATGAGGAAATTCTGGGTGATTAAGCTTATGATCACAGAATTTTGTTAATGACCCACCATGAAGGATATTGTCATTTTATGGGGTGTGGCTGAGCTCCTTTCATCAGGAATTGGTCTCAGAGCATCCCAAGGGGGTTCACCAGGGAAAGCTGTTGCTTTGTCCCCATGGCTGCTGTACCCCTAAATGTGGAAGGAAAGGCTTTATTTCTGTAATATCTCATCTCCCAAAATTTGATTCATCAAAGCCCAGCCTGGGATGTGAGAGGACTGCAGTCCAACACAGCGATAAGGGGAGGTTTAGGGCAAGGCAATAAAAAATCTGTTGGACAAAGCTTTGAGTAAGCAGCAGAACAGCAAGTCCTGGGAAAAAAAAAAAATAAAACAGGAATGCTTTGAAAAGAACATTGTTTAGGATGTCTCCCAGTGGAGAGTACTGCAAATTGATCCAGGACAGTTTAGTTTTATGAGCCAGTTTTAGATTTACAGATTTCCCACCACATCTTAGGGCGAATTCACTGCATATCTTCCAAAGGCAGCATTCCCTCGCTCCCTTGACCATATATAGAAGCAAAACCCCAAACTGGCACTCCAGACTCAGAGGGCTGCCAAGAGATAGGCCATCCCAAGTGATAAATATATAGGGGACAAGGCAGAGCTGCCATATATGGCTGTGAGGAAAAGGCAGCACTATTGTACATATGTGACGGGAACAGTGTGCTTGGCACTGGGTTTGTGTGCTTGGGTTTTTAGCAATCAGGGCATTTCTGGGGTTGGGATTTTCACCTGCTGCAGTTCCCTGTGCAAAGCTGGTTTTTACTTTCTCTTTTTCCAGYTTGCTGAGTGTAAACCCTGCAGAGAGTTGATGGCCAAGTTTACACTGTCCCTCAGCCTCCTCTGCTCCTGCTCCTTTTTCCTGGATGCTTTGGGGTTTAGTCATCAGTTCTGTGYTCCTCCAGCTCTTCTGACTCTGCACATCTTGGATGTGCAACAGAGGAACTTTAATCTTTCCAGAAGTGTTAATCTCCCTCCACACTTGGTGTTGTCTTACAGGGGTAACGCTCATCCAAAACCTACCCCACTCAACAGGTGCACCCCTTCTGATTTTCCCAGAAAGAATGATATTAACTATCCCAGTTAATTAATTAATTAATTAATTGACCTTAATTTGGGAAAAGCATTTCCTTTTTAAGCAATAGTGTGAACAACCTTTGCTGGGGTGGCTGCTCACTAGAACAGTTTCACCTCAGAGGTTTCTCTGGTGCAGATCCAAGAGGCTCTGGCTGGAAAGTTGTCCTCAATTCTTGGYCCTGGAAAAGATGAAGAAATGTGGATTTAGATGGGATATTGGGAAAAAAAATCTTCCTTGTGAGGGTGGGGAGGCCCTGGCACAGAGTGGTTGTCCCTGGATCCCTGGAAGTGTCCAAAGCCAGGCTGGAAATTGGGGCTGGGAGCACCCTGGGATGGTGGAAGGTTTCCTTGCCCATGGCAGGGTGACACTGGATGGGCTTTAATGTTTTTCTCCAACCCAAACCATTCCATAATTCTGCAATGATCTCACAGGTGCAGCTCCACCTCAGGATGATGGAAAAATCTCCTTGTCCTCTGTGGTGATGGTGCATCTTCTTTCACTGTCTTTCTCACATACCTGTAAAATTTGGTCCACAACATCTTTATCCCTAATTCATCCAAAGGACCAACAAAATTGTTCCATAACTCTTTCTATCCCCTGTTTTTCTTGGTGTTTATGGAATCCTCATGTATAAAATACAGCCAGCACATAACTCAGAACAATTAAATATTTTTCAGAGCTCCAGTATCTGCAAAACTGCAGTGCATGCAGGGGTCATTTCGGACGAGACAGGCGGCTTTGTGGACGTGATGCCCGTGGAAAAGAAGAAAACCTACACTGGCTCCTTAAAGAACGGCRTCCAGTCCGAGAGGTGGGTTTTATTTTTGTTTTTTTTTCCTCTCTGCCCTTCCCTCTGTGTAGCTGCTGGCCAAACAGCGACAAAAACGAATAGATACAAAACACACAAAAGTGGGTGAAAAAAAAAACAGAGAGAAAGAAGGACTTTATTGTGGGACAAGCCTCTTTTATCCACTTTAGCAACCAGAGTGTACATTTGTGTCAAACATACATTGGTTAAGAGGCAGCTGTTTAATTAGTAATCAGAACATAATTGGTGAGTTTGCAAAAGCTACAGTATTAGTAATGTTTATGATTTCCAGCCACCTGTGTTATCAATTCTACATTTCAATCTCCTTTTCTCAACAGTAGCCAAGGATGTGGTATTCCTCCTCCCTGTAGGCTGTTAATATTCCCTTTCTTTTCCCAGGACTCAGTCATACACAATAATTGGCTGAATTTCAGAATCAAGGCTTGTGGGGCCACTTTTTTCCCCCACACCTCTGCTTTCCCAGGGAGGGTTGGGCTGCCTGTGGAAGTCAGCAGCCGTCAGCTCGATGGGCTGGTGGCTCGGAGAGACTTCCCAGTGTCACTGTGRATTGTGTGACACCCAAACAAATAGAGCATGTTGTCCTGCTGCCACCTCCCCCAGCCACGAGCTGCTCTCGGGTTCCTCTGGAAGGTGGGAGCTGTTGTCAGGCCCTGTTTGATTTTTTGTCACAGCCCAAATCCACGTTAATACATTTTGCTGTGTTTGATGCATCAGGAAATAAGTACAGATATTTTCAGTTTTCAGCCTGGGTCGTGATTTGGGGTTTATATTTGTGATTTCTCTTAATTTCTGGGATGTAGATCCATTAGTGTTTGTTGGTTCATGTCCCCTGTTCTCTCTGAAAGAAGCATGACTGAATTAACCTCTCGAGAGATGTTCAAACACTTTTTGAAGATGAATTTACCCCCCTTGTAATTTTTTTTGTCATTTTTCTTGGGCCAGCCCTGCAGGTTTCAGTGACTGATTGCAAATCAGTGCTCCCAAAATCCCGCTCCTCCTGGTGATCACAACAATCCAGCCACAGCTCCTTCAGTCCTTTCTAATCTGAAATTTCACTTTTAATCTGTGATGTATTTTTTTCCGGATATTGGTGTGATGGCACTGATTTCTCAGAGCTGTCTTTGCAAATGTAGAATTTCCCACAATTAAAGGGGTTTTTGGTCACTACTAATCCTGTCTGCGCTGTGTGGTTCTTCTTTTATGAAGACCATAAGAAATCCTATCAAGTTTTCTGGGTTTATTCTAATAATGAATATCCCAGAATGCTTTAGAGCATCTCAAGAGATAAAAATAGACTAAGGAAAGCTATAGGTGTTTTTATTTAGTATAGATTATCATAAATAAGAAGGGTTTTTTAGTATGGGTTGTCAGGGTCAGCATTTTCCTGTTCGATAAATTGAATTTAGGTGAAAAACCTCCTGTTCCTTTGGTTTTTTTCCTATCTCAATCTTGCTTTCACTAATGTTTTATACTAAAAGACAAMTTTTTATTGGGATGGCAAGCTGTGCCCTGGCTGAGAATAAATCCCACCACCCCAGGGACCTGCAATGTGAGCAGCCAGTGCTGCTCTGGGAGGTGAGGGAAACCAGAGATGTTCTCACAGCAGGGATGAAGATTTGGAAAATGTTATTTACAGCCAGCTTCATTAAGGGACAGCTTCATGCTGTGAGATCCACCAGAGGCTGAAACAGCTTTTCAAAGATTAAGGGGAACTTYTGCCCTTTAGGACACTGGAAATAACCTTGGGTAAAGATACACACCCAGACAGGTATGGGAAAAGGTCGCTTTTAGGATTTACTGAGTCCTCACCCTTGCTGCAGTGTTTATTTTGTGGGAATATGCAGTTTTGTATTTTTCCTGGGTTTTTTCAGCACAGTAGTACCTGGGAATAGAAACACTCCCTTTGCCCATGCACACAGCCATCCCCAGCAGCTCCGAGTCAGAGCATCTGGGGACACCTCTGTGGATTGAAAAGGAATATCTGTATTTATTGTCATTTAACGTGAGCTGATCTGGCTATTCCTGCTGCCAGCACAAGGAGACAAGCCAGCCAGGCTTTGGGAATCTGCCAGCCTGTTTGTTTGACAAGTGTTTTTTTAGGAAAACATATTCTTCTTCGTGCCTGAATCTCKGCACAAGGCAGCACAGTGTTCCTTGGATAAAAGCTGTGAGAGATGGTCTGTCGCCTTCCAAGTCCTTTTGTTGGCATTAGCGCTGCAGATTTGGGTTGAAAACATAAACAAAAGGTGAAACCATGGATTTGTGCCGCTTCTTTTTCACCATTTGTCTTTCTCCTGCTCCTGGCAGGAAGGAGACAGGAGAAATTCAGAGTTGCCTGTTTGGATCTTGCAATGTCTTCATTTGGTTCATTCCATGCCTGTTTTCTTTTTCCCTTTTTTTTTTTTTTTGTCTCTAGCTTGAAGAATCCTTCAGATGGGAACGCTTTCCGGATTTTTGCAGTGAAGCAGTAGATGCCCAGGGAAGGAAGGCACAGATTTCTTTGGGAGAGCTCTCCGTTGATCTCCGGAGACGCCGAAGCTCCTCCGAACGGCACCAGCTCTGCCCGTCCCCTCCTTGCCGACCTCCTTCAGGGAATTCCAAAAGAAAAGGGGAAACAAAACCCCTACCTCCCCCCCAAAACAAAAAAAAAGACCCCAGGTTCTGACTCAGCTGTTGGCATCTCATCGCACCCGTGCAGCGTTGTCTCTTCTCGTTGTCTCGTGTTTTTGTTTCTCTAGGGGCATTCAGCGACCATGAACTGTTCCAAGTTTCATTTTGCCAGAGGTGTTGCTACGCAGAACGGCGGTGGCTCCGTGTGCAGCAGGTGTAGGGTTCTCAGCCTGGCCCTGGATGGTGTTTTTAGGGTGTGGAACATCTCCTGGGGTGTTTGTGAGGATGAGCGTGGCCGGGCACACTCGGGAGTGAGCAGCTGTCCAGGCGCTGGGCACTTTGAAATGAGGAACTCATTGAGAAGTTGTGTCATTTAGGGAGAGAATGGGCTTTGGCAGAGTGGTTTTTGTGATGTTGGGTGGTTCGTGTGCAAAAGAGGATAAATTGTGGTTTTTTTCTCACCGAGGTGGCGTGCAGCTGCACCGCCGTGTGAGGGCACCTCGGACGGTGGTGCTTGGGGATGTTCTCGGCAGCCAAAATTCGAGGTCTTGTGGGACTGGGGCTGGGTGTAAAATGGTGGCAGAGATCCTCACTGTGAGAATGAGGCCACCAGATAACCCAAAGAGCASGTTTGGTGTTTGCTGGTCAAACACTCCCAGGTATTTTGCAAGTCTGGCATCCTCTGAGAAGTCAGAGAATCGGGGCTCCTGTGCTGGCACATCTCATCCTATACTCCACACCATAACTTCAGTTAAATGCAGTGTACTGGTTTATACAGCAGTGCTGGTTGTTTTATAGTAGTTAAGTAGCAATAAAATTAATMTTATTTCTGCTAGGAATGGTTGCATTCATAGGAATGTTCACTTTCCCTTTGTGAAGCTCCTTGTAGTGCGTGCAGTTGTGGGACTTTAAAGATATCGATTGGGGTAGAATAATTTTTCCTGTCCAGTTTGTGAAGCCAACAGATCCCCACTTTCAGTGTAAATGCAGTCCCTGTGAGCATTTGATATCCAGGACAGTGGGTTTTGCAAAACTCATAGGTTTTCTAATGATGCTATTCCACATTTTGATATTTATGTCTTGAGGTGAACCCAAATGCATTTCAAAGCCAAGAGAAGGGTTCAGCATGACCTGCTTTTTTTTAAGGCAGGAGAATTCCTCTACTTCATATTGGAAATGAATTTTTAGAATTTGGTGGGTTTTTGATACATTCTCATTGGTCATGAGAAGACAAAATCAACAGTAGTTCTTCARTTCTTGTAAATGCAGCCCTTCTGCTAAATAACTGAATTGTAATATTGGATAACAAATGGGAAAATATTTCCCTCTCCTTGGCAGATGTCTCACAGCTGCTCTTATGCCCAGAATATGTTTGGTTTAATCTAGACAGATAKAAGAGCCGTCTCATCAGGCTCTTTCAAAACACAGACCAAAAGCATTTATATGATTAAACACTTCTTTAATTCCGTAAACACCGTGAAATCAGCAAGGAAATGACATTTAAACGACATTTATCGCTCAGTTTGTCTCACCAGTGCGGATTATTTCTCTGTGAAATCTGAATTAGGAAAGAGACCTTTTGCAAAACCCGAAATTGGAGCTGCTTTGCTTCGTCTCCAAAAAACACTGCACAGAAAATCTACTTTTGGGGTGGATAGAGAGAAGTGACTCTTTGTTCGTTCAGTGTTGTCTTCCAAGGTGAACAGTATCGACTTTAGATAGGAAAACTGAAATATTTCTTTTTCTTAGTAGGTAAATTGGTGTTAAAACAGCTGGAACACATCCTAGAAAAGCTGCTGGTTGAGATGTTGGCAGCGAGGAGAGGTTTCCCTGTTCCTGCCCTCTGTGAATCACTGGGGTGTCCATGGGCTGGTTCAATCCCATCCAGCAGGAATTTGGGACATCCCAGGCCAGGTGGCAGCCACAAGGGCTAGGAACTGAATTGGAGAGAGTGAAAAATGCAGTYGGGTTCATGGGGACTGAAAAAGCACAAAAAACACCTCGGTGTTAGCGTGGGATCCATGAAAATTATGGATGGAAGATGATGGAAAAGAACATGAGTAACCCCCTCCCAGGGGTTTCTGTGAGCACATAAAAATCCAAACAGCTGGGGACGTACCTAGGTGACAGCAAGGGGACAAGGGAAGGGTTATTACTCCAACAGAAATWTCCTAACACGCTTAATTCCAGTTACAATTGCGTATTTTTATCTGCAGCCAACTGGTTTGGATTTTTAGAGACCGATGTTAATTTAAGTCTGTATCTGTTTATTTTTGTATTTGTTGTACAAAAGAGAAATTGTGACTTTGCTACACAAATATTTTTCGAGGTCCTGGGTGCTATTAATTTAAACATACCTCCACCAGAATTAGGGGCCATCARGTCCTCCAGGGCAGTCATGACCTATCAGCAACTGTGTGTGCTAGCTATTCGTAAATAGGTGGGACAGCACCAATTTTTTTAGCCAAATATTGACAGATTTTATTTCTGATACCAAAGCATTTCTCTGCCTGCTATGTTTGAGTGCAGCTTTACGAKTAATCACATCTGTATCTCACCAGGCCCGTCCTCCTCAGCAGATTTGTAGGCACTGAAGCATCACGGTGGCAAAGCTGGTGCCTCCTGGTTGTTCTTTTCCCCAATAATTTTTGGGTTTGAAGGCGATGGCGCTGTCATTGCAGGACATCTGGCTGACCTAAATCTCCAGGAAACATATCCAGGGTGAAATCGTTCCTTCTTTTGCAGACCTTCAGCCAACAGCTGGTTGAGGAGGCTCCAGTTGGTCATTTGTGCAGTCTAAATATTTAGGATTATTTAGGGCCAGTTCATAGAGTTGCTTTTTTTTTTNTTTTTGTTTTTTTTTTCTATGAAAAACGATGTATTTTACTTCCTATGTATAAAAGTTGCTTGTAAATTTTCGTGTGCCTTTGCATGTTTTCCAAGGGGCCGTGGTTGTTTATAAACTAGATTTTTTTTTTCTAAATACAGAATTGTAAAATATCTGTCCTCYCCCTCCCCCTGCTCCATTTTCTTTTGATTCTTGAATTATTTGTGAAATAAAACCTTCCCAGAATGAATGCTTCCCTTGTGTTTAATGCCCAGCCAGAGTGGGGTTTGTRTTTAGAAGAGCTATTTGGGATTWCTCCTGGGGACCAGAAYGTCCCCTGGAGACCCCAAATGAGATTGGGATGTGCAAAGTCTGTTCCACAAATAAACTGCCCAGTACCCAGGCATTAAAATTCAACTTTTACCCATCAAAATAAGCTGTATCCTTTATTGAAACATACAGGGAGTAAGGGAAAATCACTGCTTGACTTTAAATCCCTGTAACAAGGGCTGAGGCTGATTAATGGGTTGGAAATGGTGCAAAATATGAGTGTGATGACCTCCTGAGTAGGCTGGTGTTGATTGTAACCTCATTTTTTGAAAGGAAAAGTATTCAGATTTTTTAATTCCCCTTGAAATTTTCTCCAAGCTCATCCTTGCTGACAGCACCACAAATCAAACCAAGTTTTTTCCTGGCAGTCCAACCCCATTTGGTTAAAGCAGCAGCACAGGGAGGTTCATAACTCAGGCAATGAGCACCAGATGGGTTTTGACCAAAAATGTGGGTCTGGGCCATGGGATGGGGTCCTGAGTGACAAGGCTGTGATTTTTTTTTTTTTTTGTTTTCCATTACCTATAAAAATCTCCCCGCCCTGTGAGTTGGAACCGGATGGTCTTTAAGGTCCCTTCCAACCAAATCCATCCTGTGATCCCACAAATCCCATGGTCAAATTTGGGTCCTGGGTGGCCMAGAGAGCAAAACAGCATAACTCTCAAAATTCAGGGCTGAAACCACCCCATCCTTTGGGTCGTGTTCCCATCCTCTGACGCTGTGTCTGGTTTTGCTAAAGATTTGTCTCCTCCTGCTCCAGCCACGGAAATTGTGTGAGAAATTGTGCTTCCTCTGCTCATCCACCAGAAATKGTGTGAGAAAAATGTGTCAGACAAAGCTGTGCCTTCTTCTTGCACAACAGGCAAGAAAACCAGGTAAGAGAGGGTTTAGGGCGAAACACACAGGGGAAAAAAAATTTTTTTAAAAAAATATTTTTTTTTTTCTCCAGTTGGGATGGGATTCAGAACCTTCTTTGGCTGAGAAGGCATAAAAACTGGAGGGGTGAAAGAAAATAGAGGGGGAAGGAAAGAGAAACCCATGTGGAGCTGAGTGAGGGTGGCAGATCCAACAGTCCTGAATTCCCACATTTCTGGCAATCCTTGGGAATCAACAAACAGCTGGGTTTTCTGTCCCTGCTCRCTCCTTCAGGGTGAAATATCCCATTGCTGGGTTGTTTTGCCTTCTGCTGGCTGAGCTCATCAGAACCTATGTAYAGCTCGGGCATGCCTTGGGGTGGGAGTCCTTCCCTAAAAAAACCCCACAGTCATTTATAGGATGTGCCCCGGGCCGTGTTTTCAAAGCTCTTTTGCAAAGGGCTGGCCCTAATTTACACTAAGGACCTACTTTAGGGCACTTAGGAGGCATTTAGGGTGTGGGGAGAGCAGCGTAAAGAAGCCTCAGTGTAAACAAAAACCGCCCCTGTATGGTGTTGACCGTGGTTAAAATTGGGTTAGGGAGTTAAATCAACAGCCAAGGTCTGCCTTGTGAGCTCCTCACCCTCCACGGGGACAGGGGAGGGCTGTCCCCAATGTCCCTGGGCCACAGGACATGGCAGGGAGGCTGAGTGTCAAATGGAGCACAGGGTATTTATAGAGGGAGAAAAGTCAGGAGGCTCTGGTGGAATACGAGAGCTGGGAGCAAAATAAATTCCGAGTTTTGGGATGTCCTCCAAGAGCTGCTCCTGTCAGGTTTAGGATCCTGTGGTTTGGGGACTGGGGGTGACCCTGACCCCAAGAGGGGATCTGCCAGCACGTGCACTGTCCTGAGGAGTGCTTGGCTGATAGCCCCAAATTTTTATTTTTATTTTTATTTTTATTTTTATTTTTATTTTTATTTTTATTTTTATTTTTATGAGTAGCTGCCTCAAGGCTTGTTTGTGCTCATCCCCTTTTGCACGTGTGGAAGCTGAGAAAACACCACCAATGAACCAAGGCCAGAGGACAAGTTTGTCAGGAAACAAATCCCAAAAGTTGCCCAATTTCATTCTCCACCAGCCTAGCAGGCTTTGTGAGTGAAAAAAAAATATAATAAATCCCAATTTAGACTGACTGTAAGAGGGGGGTATTCAGACCATCTTACTTGAGGTGCTTGTAATGAAAATATAATTTTTATCAATGCAGGGAGCTCCAAAACTGCATCAGCACCTGTGTTGGAAGAAACAGCCTGCAAAAATCAGATGGAAGGGAAAAACACAAAGAATAATAAAAGATGGAGACCAAGCAGGAGGGAATAGCTCAACTGAGATAAAGAGGAGTCAAAAGCATCACGTTATGACCAAGGAGATAAAAATCATATCAGGTGTGAAAGGAGGGCCATCGAGGCAGGTGAGAAACCTTTCAGCTTCGCTTTGTTCAGGTCTCTGGTGCAAGATAATGACTTCTGGGTTTTTATTGTTGCTGCCTGGAAAATATTCTACCAGGAGGAAAGAAATAGAGACCTGAGAGCTGAAACAATTCCTGAGAAAGCAGGAGAGATCTCTGAGGATGAAAAAGGTGAGGAGGAGGATGCTTGAAGTGTGTGAAGGTACAGAAAGGGAGAGAGGGCATTTGTTCTTCATGCCCAAAGGGGCCCCACTGGGAAGGGATGGATAGGAAACCCTGAGATCATTTGTAAAAGTTCTGACTGGAAGGGATCATCTGTGTGTTCTTTTCAAGCCATGTTTGTTTTAAGAGAATTGTGGATGGCATCTCCCAAAATGAGATCCTGCTTCGGGTGGAGAATGGACTAAAAAGTGTCTTGATGGTCCTCCCAGGTGTTTTTTTTCTATAATTTTCAAGGCTAAAGGAAACATTCCATCCTGTGGGAAGGGAATTCTCTGTTTGGACCAGGATGGTGCAGAGGCAGGGACTGCCATTGTCCTGTGGTGGCACAGACAGAGGTGACCTGGATCAAGGTCAGTGTCATGGCAATATGGGCTGAGATGATAAAAACGAGTCATTGCTCTCAAAATTCTTTGTTGTTCAGGTTTCTTTTGCTGGGTTTTTGGGGTTTTTTTTTAAGGTTTTATGGCAGACAGATGAGTTCTGAGC